TTTGGAAGCTCAACAAGCTCCCATGTATCGTTCTTGTGAAGAGAGTCCATCTTCTCTTACATAGCCACCTGCCACGAATCAGCCTCCGAATTTTGCTTGGCCTCTCTGAATGTAGTAGGCACCAACTCATCAATACTCTCCACCGAAAGTGCATACGTAACTATTGTATCGGTATACCGTGCTGGCATTCATATGTCTCTCCTCTGTCTCTGAACCGTAATTGAATCCTAAACCTGAGCCGTCAGCCCCTGATCCTGCAAAACTGTACCCGTATCCTCCTCGTCATCGTCGTGCTCGCCTGGCGTCACCTCTGTCAGCACTCTAATGGATATTGTACCATTTGGACAATATAGAGCTACATCGATCTCCGCCACCTACGATATTTCCTCCGTCGGGTCGCTCTCCACCGGATGAGAGCTGGGAAGCTTCAAGATAGAAGCCTCATCGAATATGACGTTTATACTCAGCACAATCTTCCTATCAACTGGATCCCAAAGCTTGTATCCCTTGACACCGCGCTTGAATCCTACAAATATGACCTTCCTAGCTCGAGGTTCCAACTTATCAGTCTTCACATGATAGTATGCAGGACATCCAAATACCTTGAGCTAGTCATAATCGTATGCTGGCTCTCTCGACCACATCTCCATAGGGGTCTTCCCCTCAATCGCAGATGAAGGTAGCATGTTAATGAGGTAGCTCACATATGAAATTGCCTCAGCCCAAAAGATCTTCTCCAAACTACTATGCGCCAACAAACATCGTATCTTCTCCAACAAAGACCGATTTAACCTCTCTACCACCCCATTCTACTGCAGTGTATGACTAACTGTGAAGTGTCTCTTTATGCCCTCGTGTCGACATAGCTGCTGAAAAGGGTCTGATGTGTACTCACCACCGTTGTCGGATCACAACGTCTTGATCTTTCTCCCAGTCTGCAGTTCTAATCTCTTATTCTACTCCACGAATATATCTAGGACTTCACTCTTCTTTGCCATGGTGTACACCTAACATCGCCTAAAATAGTCATTAACGAACGTGACGAACCAATATCGACCACCAAGTGATGCAGTCTTCGTGGGACCTTAAATATCTGTGTGCATATAGTCCAGAATACCCCTCGTCTGATGAATGGATGTCCCGAACTTCACATTCTCTTTTTGCCAAGAACACGGTGCTCATAGAACTTAACTTTTCTACTCTTGGCTCCCTTCAATAGCCTCTGCTTGCACAAAGTCTGCAGTGACTTCTCTCCTATGTGCCCCAACCTGTAATGCTAAAGCCTGCTCACGTCCGCCTTTGAAATAGTTGAAGCAACCTGGCTAATTTTGGTGCTCCCCTTCAGATAATACAAGTTTTGACTGCGGACTCCCTTCATCACCACCAAAGATCCCTTAGTAACCTTTGCTATAGCGTCTTCAAAGGTCTGCTTGAATCCTTTTGCCTCCAAAGCTCTAACTGAGATAAGATTCTTCTTCAGCTGAGGAACAAATCTCATCTCCTTCAATTCACGAAATACTCCATCGTGCATCCGGATCCGCACAGTACCTATCCACAAATGCCAGGTGACTGATCATTTCCCATGATTACAACTCCCCCATCGAGCTTCTCAAAAGATGCAAACCAATATCGCCTAGGGGTCACATGATAGGTAGCATCGGAATCAAGCATCCAATCTGATGCATCCAAGTGGTTCACCTCCGGAGTAATCAGTAGAAAAAAGCTCAAATCATCGGAATCATCGCCTTTCATAATATTCACCTCATTGGCCTTCGGGCCCTTTTTCTTGCCATTCTCTTTCTCCTTGAGCTTCGGGCAATCTCTCTTCCAATGTCCCTGCTCCTTGTAGAATGCATATTAGTTTTTTGCTAATTGATGGTGGCTTCTTGACTTTGACATTCCTCTATTACTAACTTTCGGATATGGGCTTCTACCTCTCGTCGATAAGGCTTTGCCTGAAGTACTAGCACGGGAAGTCTCCTTGTCCTTCCTCCTCAAATTATAATTCGTCAATGCATTAGTTACTTTACTATAGCTGATAGAAGATCTCCCGTTCAACAAAGTGAGCACAAATGTGTCATACTCCTCATCCGGTAAGGAACCTAATAAGATAATAGCCTTGTACTCATCTGATATCTTCTTATCAATATTCGTCAAGTCCGACAATAACTTTGTATAGTTGTTCACATGAGCCGCAAGCGAGGTGCCTCTGGACATCTGAAATCTGAATAACCTACGCAGTAAGTGCAACCGGTTCTCAACACTCTTCGTAAGGTACTTATTGTTGAGAATTTCCCACATCTTTATTACAAATGTCACCCCAATCACATCATACTTCAGCTCCTGTTCCAAACAGGACCTGATCACCTCACAAACGTTCCTATTCATCTTTTCTCATATCGTCTCTTTATATTTTGGTGGTCTCTCGTGGACCATGATGGTCTCCTCCAAGTTCTGAACATTGAGCGCATCCTGTACGTCGCTTATCCATAAACCAAAGTTGATTTTACCGTCATACTTCATCACACAAATTTTGGTATTCTGAAAACCAACTTGAACTAACTCCAAGTTGTAGAGAAAGAATCAAACTTTGATAGAAATTAAGAATTACCCAACTGAACCCTAAATCGGATTCCAAATAGATCTCATATCCACACGAGGAAAGTGAAATCTCCAACGACAACTCCTAATGCTATCTCCACTGAAGCCTAGAACTCCAAGAACAAAGCTTCACACAAGAATCTTCCTCCACCTAATTCCAAAACCCTAGATATGAAATCTGGGTTCTGATACCACTTGTTGTGCGCAGCGAAAATTTTGGCAGCACATCGGCAGCACCTCGGCGCAACAAGATAGTAAGATCACAATAGGAATTCCTGTTTCACCAAGGAAACAAGAACCAAAAGCATAATATCTTAACAAAGTGGGATATCAACTCTTCCTCTCATCAGTTCTAGGACTGACCTGTCGAGGGAACCTAAACAAGCTATTACAAACACACAAACAGCAAGACAACCAATTTTACGTGGTTCGGCAAATTGCCTACGTCCACGGGGCAAGGAAGGGGAATATTTACTATTAGAGGGAGAGAACACAACTAGGGTTTACAATCATACAACCTAAACCCTCAAACAATCTCTCAAATCCTCTCTCGAAAGGATAGCCGCCTCTGTAACTTTTCTCCTTGCACGCCTCCCAAGCCAACATGGTTTTCCCCTCTGCCTTGCACGCAGCCGAAATCCGCGTTCTCCCCCACTTTGCAAGCAACCCAAGCCAACAATTGTTTCTGCGTTTTTTTTTTCCTCACGAAGCCTTGCACTAGAAAACCTAGGAATCTCGTGAAGGTATATATATATATATATAAACAGTCGGCTATTGGGTGGACCGACTGTTCACGAGGAAAGAAGCGGAAAAAGGCCACGCCGTGTGGCCCCCACTCACATACATAACTTCCTCTCCAATCTCAATATTTTGAAGATTTGAGGTTTAGTTCGCAATATTGAGATTTTAGGATGGATTTTGCAAATGTACATAATGTTGGGTGTAGTTCCACAAATATTTGCAAACATGCAAATATCAAGGGGGCTCCAAAGCCCCTTTGGGCCTCCACCTCGATGGAGCATATCCATGTTTCTTTTTTAGAGGATAGGGAATAATGACCCTTAAACTCATGGTGGAATGAGAAGCATGAGTTTAGACGAGAATCATGATACGCGCCAAAATTGCCCATGCGTCAGAACCTTGATGAAAGAGTTGTAGTGTGATGACGGATCAATATTGTAGGCTAAGAATCCAAAAGTATCCGTTGAGAAAAATCAAATGGTTTGTAAGGTCAAAAATGTAGGACAGAAATCCAGGGGACCGGATGTAGATGGCTCATTAATGCTGGTGAGATCAATGACTAGGGGTAAAAATCCTTGTACACTACTGATGAGATTGGGCAGTAAGTAGGGTGCTAAACCGTATCCGTATCCGAGAAAATATCCGTAACCGTATTCGTTAGGATACAAATATGGTTACTCAAATCTATAACCGATAGAATATGGTTACAGATATGGTTTTGTAGTGAAATATTTGTATCCGTATCCGAAATATCCGAATACATATTAGTCATACTCTTACGATAGTGTAGATTCTTAGATCATGGATTTGTGATTAATTTTGATGATCAAGATGTCTAATCTTAACTTTTCAATTATAATGGACATATTAACAAACTCTTTTGTATCACATGAACTATGTTTTTTCTCAATACTATCTAGTTTTCTCATATTTGTTTTATATCTGCATGCATATCTGCTTATATATCCACATGTATATCTGTAACCGTATCCGATTTTAGCCGATATGGTTATAAATTTTTCTTATCGAGGTATATTCGTATCTGTATCCGTATCCGAGATGGGTAAGCGGATATGGATATGATAAGCATCATATCCGAGCCGTATCCGGACCGAATGCACCCCTAGCAGTAAGGCATCGAAAACCTTCTCGGACGGGAAAAAAAATAGTAATCAATGTTGAGACTATGATGAAATGTTCGCTGCGAAGAAAATCTCAATAAACAACCATGCGTACGCCTCCAACAAGAGGTAAAGGAAGGTCCAGGACTTGGGAGAAAAAGAAAGAAGGGCATGACGATGGCTTATCTCTTTAAAATGATCGCTGGCGCTAATAAGTTAATAAAGAGGGTGTAATTATGATGGGGAGGTGATCTGGATTCATCTAGTCTCGGCTTAATGTCAAGGCTGAGGACAATTCTTATGCAGATAGCGAGATTAGTGAGAGAACGCCAGAAGGTAGCAAAACAGTGACGGTCGAATATCGATGCACTGCCAAGCCACTGAGATTATATATCCTACTATATTTAACAATATATCAAATTTAGTGAATTTCTGAAATTAATAAATATAAAACTAAAAATGAGGGGGGAAATGCCAAGGAAACAAATAGCTAAGCGCACCCCCCATTACTGTCTCTTTTTTAGGAGTAGCCCTTTTGTCTCGTCTTGCTTTCTTATAACCGACCCGGAATCCACTCATCCGCTACAGAGATTCTGGCCGCCAAATATGCAGCTCATCCTCATTCCTTTCTCTCTCTCTAAACCTCCAACTCACTAAAACAGATAAACATTAGAGAGCAATGGGAGACTCCGACTTCTCATTTCCTCTCTCTGATCTCATCTGCAGCGAAACTATAACGCATCTCAACGAAGACCAAGGTCAAGAAGTCCTCATGCCGTTCTCAGAAACAGAGGATGAGTACGTTGAGGCTTTGGTCTTAAGAGAGAAGAGCTTTGAGAGCAGAGCCATTGGGGTTCCTGAGGAGGCTGATAGTCTATCAAAATTTGCTCGATCGGAAGCCGTTCGATGGGTTCTCAGAGTGAGCTCACATTGTTTCGTTTTGATCAGATTTAGATGCCCATTTGGTTGTTTATTTGATTTAATGGGTTTTTCAAGTTTCGTTTTTTTTTTTTGGGTACAGATGAAGGCTTGCTTTGGCTTTGGGTATCAGACTGTGTATCTTGCAATGAGTTATTTTGAGCGGTTCTTGGTTCATCAAAGCATCGATGTAAGCAAAAAGATCTATCAAAATAATTCTCCTTGGTTCTGGGTATGAGGTTTTATTTTTCAAATGCAACGCGAGAGAATTATGTACGTTATTCATTCTGTTGTTGTTGGTATTCATCTTCTGCATTGAAAAGCTGATCTTTTTACTTAAACTGGAAATAGGAAAGCAAAGCATGGGCATTGAAACTTTTATCAGTAGCATGCTTATCTTTGGCGGCAAAGATGGAGGAGTGTAGGCCGCCAGCATTGTCAGAGTATCAGTTGGAAAAATACCAATTCAGTAGCAATGTAATACAAAGGACGGAGCTCCTTGTATTGAACACATTGGAATGGAGAATGTGTTCAGTAACTCCATTTGCATACTTGGGCTATTTTGCATCCAAATTTGAATGTAAAAGTGGAAGAAAAGATTTGTTTTCTAGAGCGATTGGATTCATATTTGCTATTATTGAAGGTAATGGTTTCACCTGTGTGATTTCTTATATTTTTTATTCAGTCATAAAACATGCCATGATCTTCATAATTCTTTTCAATAAGATTTATTTCCTCTCAAAGTGACTTGTGTGTAGTACATTAACCAATTTGTTTTATTATTCGGCCTTACTCTTTGCATAAGAGCATAAACCTCTTTTTCGAAGGAAAAGGACAAGGTCAAAAAGAACTCAGCCTATGATCATTTTGTTAAGAGTTGGGGAGGGTAAGATGTACGCAGCCTTACCCCCACTTTGCGGAGAGGCTGTTTCCGAGATCCAAACCTGTGACCTCTAGGTCACAAGGCAAAAACCTTACCGTTGCACCAAGGCTCACCCTCACGTTACATATGTATGTATGACAAATATTTCTGTATTGTGTGTGTTTGTTCATGCATGTGTGCATTTGATGTGTACATACATGTTCTGTATTATGTATACATACATACATACCAAATCGTTTGTTAGATAGGCAGTAATGAAGAGATCTCGTAGCTCCACTCTTGCTGACTCCCTTCGCCCTTCACACGAACCAACTTTAGTGTCTGCTTCATCCAAATTCATCAATGAATTTTTTGGACTAGATAATGATTTCGTACTCTTCTAGTGTTTGTATATTACTTTTCTGTTAAATGACATATTCTATTTGCTTGATTCTCTATGTAGATCATAATTATTGGACTAGTTTCTCAACTATTGGCTAATACCTTTTTGGATATTAGTATCTTTGCATAGACAGATCTCTCAAATTTTCTTGTTATATTGAGACAGGTTTACCGACTACTGACTAGGTTTTGGTTCAAAATTTTCCATCTGTATCTTATTAGTATCATAAACAGAAATTCTTTAGAATATAGCCATGAACATTTGAATTAGCCATCACATTATTTTATTCTTGCTGATTGATATTAATCTTTGGCAAAAGAAATTCAGATTCATTTTTTACGTCCTAATGCAGTAATGAATTTACTGGATTGTCGCCCCTCCACTATAGCTGCTTCGGCAATTCTTGCCGCATCCTATGAAAGGTTAACCAAGAACTCGCTACAGGCTAAGTTGAGCATAGTCTCCTTGCGCGAACTCTTCGAAACTGTAAGTCTACTTTATTCTATGATGTATGGTTTCTTGAAATATTTAGTCATTATAAGAATTTGGAAGAAACCATGCAGTGAGTAAATACAATTTTATTCTCTCCCTGCCAGGAGAATATATTTTCTTGCTATAGCATGATGATTCAGCGGGAGAAGTCGAAACCACCAAAGCTTTTGGTTTCATTGGAAGTATCAAACATTTGTGCCACCTCTTTCTCAGCTAAAAGCCATAAGAGGAGGAGGAGGTTACAATGATTAACTTGTTACCCTCTAAAGTTGGCACTGGTTTTTTTTTGTAGTTGTCAATGTGGGGCATGACTTGATTCTCTAATTAAGTGTGATTTCTTTTTTGTTGATTGATAAGCTTATAGTATTTGGTTCATTTGACGTTTTTTGAATGTCTTCCCTGAATTGATTAGTGTTAAAAAGGAGAGAAAGGGACAAGGAAAGGTTAAAACTTTAGCTCAAAGTTGAAAGAAAAGGCTTACTGAATTTTAAAAAGCCAAGAGGAGGGAGGTGACTGCAAAGAGGTTGGAGAAAGAGCGTTATTGTGAATAGGATTGCAACAGGCAAGTAGTGCTTTCGGTTCATAGCTCTTGATCATTTTATTGCATTTGTGCCTTTTTGTAAGTTGATGAGTGTAGGGAGGAGTTATACTCCGTTATTTATTTTTTGTCCCCATTTCTTAGATTTTATTCCTTTCTTGGGTATTTGAAAAGATTGAAAGCAATGGGAGGGTGCCTCTTGCGTATCAGAAATGCACTTCTGTTTGTGCATTGGTAGCCAGCTCAAAGTGTAAAAGGTGGGGTCTTTGTGTGATTGGATTAGTATGAATCTTGGGAAAGAAATTGGTGCAACTTTGCTTTGCTTTGTGTTCGTCTTCATGTAGATTATACTTGATATGGTTTGCTTTTAATTTTCTTTTGATCCCTCTTAGTCTACATAAAACCATTATTTAATCACAGAGGATAATGGCTGATGAGGCTTAGGGTTCAAACTGTTTACCCATCTGCCTTTTCTATATCTCATTGGATATGACGCTAAATTCACACGTTTTATCCCTTCTAGTAAAGTGACATAACAATTTAGATAAGTTTCTTTTAACTTTCTACAGAATTTATCTATTTGGTTGTTAGCTCTTTTGTAATAGTAGTCGCAAGGAAACTATAACAATAGGACTATTTGGAAATGATATTGCGCACCAACCAGTAAAATACGCGGAAGTGTCATTGAAACACCTGAGTAGATTTTCTCCTTTGTAGACCAATAGATCATTGAACAATGTGAAAACTCCGAGATATGACAAGTTTGAACGAAAGAGAAAAGACAATATACCTTAGAAAATAGTGTTAGGATATGTGAAGCCTAACTATCAAGCATGCCCTATACTTCAGAAGAGAGGAGGAACAAAGTTGGAACAGGAGGAACAGGATCGACGATGGAGAAGTTCAAGCAAAACGACGAAGGAGACAGTTTTCTGCATCGCGGTCGACCGGCCATGGCGCGGCGGTCGACCGACGTCGTGCACAGCTGGGTACACAGGCCAGGAGTTCATCGCGGTCGACCGAGCATGGCGTTGCGGTCGACCGGCAAAAGTCCAGAGAGCAAGTCCAGACTGCAGACAGCTTCGCGGTCGACCGCACATGGCGCTGCGGTCGACCGCCCAAAGTCCAGAGAGCTCGATCAGGAATAGGATTCGTCGCGGTCGACCGCACGTGGTGCTGCGGTCGACCGGAGTCGGGTTTTGGCCCAGTTTCGATTTTTAACCTGTTTTGTTCTGTTTCCTTTTTTATTGGTTAAACCCTTAAGTCTATAAAAGGGTTGGCTAGGGCATGATGTAAAGTGACGAAAAATAGTGAATTTTTCTCCTGCGGCGGCCGTGGACGTAGTTTCTCACATTGAGAAGCGAACCACGTAAATCTTGTGTGTTTGAGATTGTTTGATTTTCTCTCTTCTCTCCTAAATCTCTATTTCCAAATCGCATCAGGGGGGTTGTGCATCCCCAACAAGTGGTATCAGAGCGACCAGGTTCGGCGCGAGCGATTTGAGGTCAGAGACAATGGGATCTGAGAAGGAAACATCCAAGATTGAGAAGTTTGATGGAACAAACTTCGGGTTCTGGAAGATGCAGATGGATGACTACCTCTATCAGAAGGATTTATACCTACCATTGGGAGAGAAGCCGACGGATATGAAGGATGCGGATTGGAAGCTATTGGATCGAAAGGCCCTTGGAGCGATCAGGTTGACCTTGTCTAAATCAGTAGCGTTCAACATCAAGAATCAGAATACGACGGCGGATCTCATGGCGGCGTTGTCCAGTATGTATGAGCAGCCCTCTGCGGCGAATAAGGTACATCTCATTAAAAAGCTATTTAATTTGAGGATGTCCGAGAGCCAGAAATTCAAGGAACACCTGAACGAGTTTAACGAGATCACGGATCAACTAAACTCGGTCAATATTCAGTTTGACGATGAAATCCAAGCCCTCTTGATACTTGGTCAATTGCCCGACAGTTGGAAGGGTACCGTTATCTCGATCAGCGGATCATGTGGCAAATCAAAACTAAAGTTTTCAGAGGTGGTGGACATGATTATGACTGAGGAGATTAGAAGGCAAGAGGAAGGAATTTCTAATTCAGGGTCGGCGTTGAACCTTGAGGGCAGAGGAAGAAACAGAAACAGAAATAGAGGGAGTAGCCGAGGAAGATCTAACTCGAGGAACGGAAGGCCAAAGTCCAGGAACCGCAAGGGAAAGAAGGAAATAGACTGCTGGAATTGTGGCAAGTTTGGCCACTATGAAAATCAATGTCGAGAACCCAAGAAAGACAAGGAGAACAAGACTGAAGCGAACGTGGCCTCAGGAGAATCAGATGATGCCCTAATCTGTTCGTTGGAGAGCAAAACTGAATCGTGGGTGCTGGATTCAGGAGCTTCGTTTCATGCTACCTCAAATAGAGATTTATTTGAGAACTACGTTTCAGGAAACCTAGGAAAAGTCTATCTTGGTGATGATCAGCCCTGTGATATTGTTGGCAAAGGAGTCGTGCAAATCAAGCTCAATGGGTCTACATGGAAGCTGAGTGATGTGAGACATGTTCCTAGCTTGAGGAAAAATCTGATTTCCATAGGACAATTGGCGAAAGAGGGATACGTATCAACCTTTGCATGTGATACATGGAAGGTTACAAAGGGATCCATGGTTGTTGCCCGTGGTACGAAGACGGGATCTCTCTACATGACGATAGATGCACGAGGTTCCATTGCAGTGGCTGAAGGCAGTGAAGACCCAAATTTGTGGCACCAGAGGCTAGGTCACATGAGTAGCAAAGGCCTAAAGGTTATGCAATCGAACGGGAAGTTACCAGGTTTGAGATCGGCTGATATTGACCTATGTGAAAGCTGCATTCTAGGGAAACAAAAGAGAATAAGCTTCAAAAGGGTTGGCAGAACCCCTAAAGAAGAGAAGCTTGAGTTAGTTCACACAGATGTGTGGGGTCCAGCATCAGTTCCATCCACCGGCGGAAGGTTATATTTTGTGACCTTCATAGATGATCACTCGAGGAAGACTTGGGTCTATTTCATGAAACACAAATCAGAAGTGTTTGAAGTCTTCAAGCGATGGAAGGCTATGGTTGAGAACGAGACCGGTTTGAAGATCAAGAAGCTTCGTTCTGACAACGGCGGCGAGTATGAAGACTCAGAGTTCAAGAAGTTCTGTTATGACAGCGACATTAGATTAGAGAGGACAGTGCCAGGTACACCCCAGCAGAATGGCGTAGCAGAACGCATGAACAGAACCTTGACTGAGAGAGCCAGAAGTATGCGGTTACAAGCAGGTTTTCCAAAGCAATTCTGGGCAGAAGCAGTCAACACAGCTGCCTACTTGATCAACCGGGGGCCATCAGTGCCTTTGGAGCACAAAAATACCTGAAGAAGTATGGAGTGGAAAGCAGGTAAACCTTTCTCACCTGAGAGTATTTGGTTGTGTTTCTTATGTTCATCTGAGTGATCATGCAAGAAACAAACTTGATCCTAAGTCTTTGAAATGTTTCTTTGTTGGCTATGGCGGTGATGAGTTTGGCTACAAATTTTGGGATGAGCAGAACAAGAAAATCATCAGAAGCAGGGATGTGGTCTTTAACGAATCAGTCCTCTACAAAGACCGTGATGCAGTTCAGCCCACTAGCTCGATGCAGAGTGATCCTACGTATTTTGAGTCAGATGATGCCTCAGGTGGAGGCAATCCCGAAGCTAGTTCTGATGAAGAAGAAGAGATGATGGATGAGACCACTTCAGAGGGGGCAGATGAAGATGGAGAGACTGTTTCGCCCGTTAGAGAGTTGAGGCGGTCAGCTAGAGTCCCCAAGCCTAATCCAAAGTATCCATCACTACAGCCCAGAGCTCATCTCAATTACCTACTTTTGAGTGACGGTGGAGAGCCAAAAAGTTATGATGAGGCTCTTCGAGTGGATGATGCGAGCAAGTGGGAGCTCGCCATGAAAGACGAAATAAAATCCTTGGACACCAACAAGACATGGGAACTTGCGAAGCTACCAACGGGGAAAAAGGCCTTGAGCAATAAATGGGTGTACAGAATCAAAGAGGAATATGATGGTTCCAAGAGATACAAGGCCAGATTGGTGGTTAAAGGATTTCAGCAGAGGGAAGGAGTTGATTACACAGAGATCTTCTCTCCAGTAGTCAAACTGACTACCATCAGAACAGTCCTGAGTATTGTTGCAGCTGAAGATCTACATCTTGAGCAGCTAGATGTAAAGACAGCTTTCCTCCACGGTGATCTAGAGGAAGAGATATATATGCAGCAGCCAGAGGGGTTTACTCAGAAGGGAAAAGAGAAGATGGTATGCAGATTGAAGAAGAGCTTGTACGGCCTAAAACAAGCTCCAAGGCAATGGTACAAAAAGTTCGATGGATTCATGCACAGGAACGGCTACTCCAGGTGCAATGCTGATCATTGCTGTTTTGTCAAGGAATTTGACAAGAGTTACATCATCCTGCTCCTATATGTCGACGACATGCTAGTAGCCGGTTCAGATATGACAGAGATCAAGAAACTAAAGAAGCAGCTGTCGAGTGAGTTCGACATGAAGGATCTAGGCGCATCGAAGCAGATATTGGGAATGAAGATCAGTAGAGATAAACTCTTGGGCACACTGCGGCTATCTCAGGCCGAGTATATTCGACGGGTGCTTGAGAGATTCGGGATGAGTGGTGCTAAGGCCGTTAGCACACCGTTAGCTAGTCATTTCAGATTGACTAAGGAGCAGTGCCCCGAGACTGATGAAGAGAAGGAATACATGGCTAAGGTTCCATATGCTTCAGCCATTGGAAGCCTTATGTACGCCATGGTATGCACGAGACCCGACATTGCCCATGCAGTGGGAGCTGTGAGCAGATTTATGTCAGATCCAGGAGAGCAGCACTGGGAAGCAGTAAAGTGGATTCTGAGATACCTGCAAGGTACTATAGAAGATTGCTTATGCTTCAGGAGAGGCAAGTTAGTCCTACAGGGTTTTGTTGATGCAGACTATGCTGGTGAGAT